TTACTATCTTTCATTGTCACTTCAAGAGAGCCCATCAACTGCAAACAATGTAGGCATTCTACTTGCCAGTGTACAGCAGCCTATGGCGGCGACGTCGAGTCGGACTTTGTCATCATTGCCCAGTATTCCTGGCATTACCCCTGGCAGTGGACTCGCTTTGGCTCTTGCGTACTACAACTACGGGCTTACACTGGATCCAAAGCACGTTCACCTGCACACCAATCTCGGCAGCCTTCTCAAGGACATTGGTCAGCTGGATCTTGCGATCCAGATGTATGAGCAGGCTGTCCAGTGCGATGGAAATTTTGATATCGCCCTAACAAATCTTGCAAATGCCGTCAAGGATCGAGGGCGTATCAGTGATGCGATAACATACTATAAAAGGGCTGTTCATTCCAATCCAGAATTTGCAGAAGCAGTATGCGGGTTGTCTACAGCCTTGAACTCGGTTTGCGACTGGAGAGGCAGGGGCGGCGCACTCCTACAGGGGGGCACGTATGATCGCTGGCATGTCGACAACGATGGCATGTTTTTCGATGCCAGGAAGGAAGACCAAGGATCCGGCCTCACGAAGAAGGTTATCGACATCGTGTCTCGCCAACTCGCTGACGCGTCAACTTGGGGCGTTGGCGTTCTACAGAATGCCGATATTGCAGCATTGATTGCACAGCTTTATTCGGCCGACGGGGAGTCGAATGACGCCCACACCGACTTCTCGACAAAGCTACTTAGCTGGTCCAAGAGCCCGTGGGAGGGATCGCGTCTGCTGAGGCTCGTTGAGCGTGGAGCACGGGCAGCGATGCGGCGATGGTATTGCGACAAGTTTGTTCAGGGTTCAATGAAGTCGACCTCGGAGTACATGCGCCCTCAACTGCCGTCTACCCTCGCTGTACCGTCCGCTCCAACAGTCCTCCCATTCCATACCTTCACCTGTCCCTTGACTGCGAAGGACATTCGCATGATATCACAACGCAACGCGTTCAGGATCTCCTGTTCTACACTTCGCTCCCCTTGGCTTCCAAAGACCGTCTACCCCCCGCCTGCGCCTCCATCGCCTCATCTGAATGTCGGCTATGTTTCTTCAGACTTCAATAATCATCCCTTGGCTCACCTGTAAGACGGCACGATTTGATTCAATATTACCTTGCCGCAGTTTATACTGACATCTTAATAGTATGCAATCCGTTTTCGGTTTTCACGATCCCACCCGCGTAAAAGCATTCTGCTATGCCACGACAGCAAGTGATAAATCTGTTCATCGGCTGCAGATTGAACGTGAAGCGCCTGTGTTCCGAGATGCCAGCACATGGACTTCGGACAAGCTAGTTGAGCAAATCGTTCAAGACAATATTCACATCCTTGTCAACCTGAATGGCTATACTAGAGGCGCCCGCAACGAAATTTTTGCGGCGAGACCTGTTCCGATCCAAATGTCCTTCATGGGCTTCGCCGGCAGCTTGGGTGCCGAGTGGTGTGACTATCTGCTTGCAGATGCCACAGCAATTCCGCCGGAGACACTACGCCCTTGGCGTGGTAACCTCTCTGTCACAGACATTTTTGAGGACAAAACTGAAGAAGGCGAGGGAGACTGGATCTACTCGGAGAACATCGTGTTCTGCAGAGACACTTTCTTTTGCTGTGACCATGCGCAGTCGAGCGACCCCGATGAACATAAGGTTTCATGGGAAGATGAGCAGCGCCGACGGTGGAGCATGCGGAAAGAGTTGTTTCCCAACCTGCCCGATGATACCGTTATCATGGGAAACTTCAATCAACTATACAAGGTTCGTCATATTCCGCGTATTCATGCATCAATACCGAGACCAGTAGCTAACTCCTTTTCAAGATCGACCCTACAACATTTCGGACGTGGCTACGCATCCTAGCACAGGCTCCCAAGGCCATCCTATGGCTCTTGCGATTCCCCGAACTGGGAGAAACAAATCTAAGGAGGACGGCGAAGGATTGGGCCGGGGAAGAAGTTGCTAGCCGAATCATCTTCACGGACGTGGCACCGAAGAACCAGCATATATCCCGAGCTCGCGTCTGCGATTTGTTCCTCGACACTCCCGAGTGTAACGCGCACACCACGGCCGCAGATGTATTGTGGTCTAGTACACCTCTTCTCACACTACCACGATACCCCTACAAGATGTGTTCGCGTATGGCGGCATCAATTTTGAAGGGCGCGCTGCCTAGAGGTCCCGTGGGTGTTGAGGCAGCAAAAGACCTCATCGCCGGCAGTGAAGAAGACTACGAGCTCTTTGCCATCAGACTAGCTAATGGCCTGTCCTATCGAGTCGGTCGTGGTGGCTATGGTGAAGGCAGGGGTCGGTTGGCAACCTTGCGCAAAACACTGTGGGACAGCAAATGGACCTGTGCGCTTTTCGATACCAGACGATGGGTGGTTGATCTAGAGAAGGCCTACGACGAGGCGTGGCGACGATGGGTGGCAGGAGAGGACGGAGACATCTACTTGTAGAGGCTCCAGCATTTCTTTCAGGGGCATGGCAACTTTGATTACGCATTCATGTGCTGGGACGAAGAGCTCGCGCCCAGTACTTATACTTGCCGAAATCATGTTCGTTTCGGGGCAATCTTTGACTTTTATTCTGGATGCACCACTAGGGACTTGCAGGCTGGCCAAGGTGCTGGCCAGGTTTAGACATCAGGGGCGGGAGTTTCAGGCGGAGGATATGCTATTGCTTGCATAGACACCAGTCCAGAGCAACACTGCTCGATGAACTGAGCATATCTTTCACTGCTTTGACGTTACTGAGGCAAGCTCAGTGTTGGTTGCGGGATGGAGCCGGCGTTTGGAGGAGGGTTTACCTTGGAGCAGGCTATGATGTACATAATAATACCCTGGGCCTCTTTCCTCGTCCACGTGAGATGTGAGGCCCCCGCGATCCATGTTTTGATTGGAATTCATTGCTTTTACATTACAAGCTCCAGCCGGCCATCAGACCATCCGAATCAAGGTCAAAACTTTGATGCTATTTTATCACCGACATCCTTATACCTACCTCCACGGGCTGCGTCTGCAGGGACTTAAAGCAACGTCCAATAGAGACGGCGACATGAGAAGGCCAGGCTGGTTTGGAATAACAGAGGTCAAGACTGGGATTCAGCATAGAGTCAGCGCCACTTATTCTTTCTCGGATCGGATATCAAGAGAATGTGGAAACATTCACCAAGCAGGTGTAGCCAACGCACCCATTGTGGACTTGTGGTAACATTTGTGCCATGAGAACACCGGTGGACAGGGAAGCTAAGTAGGCGGCAAGAACACCGTTGACTCGCTTCGTCAACCATGAGAATGCCCAGCGTTCCGTAAAGCAACCAATGGCAAGCCGAGGACGACAATGTTTCTCTCTCCATATACGAACTATGAGAGGCTTTAGAATGGAGATGGGGCGTCAGCATGGAACCAGTAATGACTCTCGACCTAGGCTTAACTGAAGTAGCTTCCCCATGAGCTGTGTGTGTGCGTGTCCGGAGACGATTGTCGCACCGCTATCGAACCATGCCCATTCCTACTTAGGGGCACCGGGGAGGAGGACGAACGCCACAAACGTGGAAACTAGGATTGCAGCAAGGGACCTGTGGTTTTGGAGCCAGATCTTTTCCCCCAACAACATGGGGATAAGGATCATAGCCTGATAGCCATCCAGTCGACAGCATTTGAGGCGAGGAGAGAAAGGGACAGCCGTATTGAGAAAAAGGTCATACTCCTTGTAGAAACAGTGGGCGTGGGGAAGTGGTCCAAAGACTCGATGAATAAAACCATGTGCGTTTTCATCTCCCATCAGCCAAGACCATGAGGTGTCGGTAATTCGAGCAAGCAAGATTAGTCTGAAATAATGTGCGAGAAAAGATCTACATCCTTCCATCAGCCCACTGGCCCTCCCATTTGATTACCCCATCTTATCCCTGAAGACAGTGACGCGTGAACTCTCACGACATATTCGGCCAATGAATTCCCATCTAATGGAGAATAAAACCGTTAAGGGGTTCGGGACGATGGTGCCAATCGACGAGTAAGATGGGCTTGTGCGAGACAGGAGTCATGGGCCTGGAGGATATACACGACCGCTCGAACCCACCTAGCTAGATCTACGTGGTACGCCGTGACATCTCGAAGCCGCTACGGTACAAAGAGCCACGTTCGACTGACGTTGATGTGATCCCTGTCTGTGTGAACATGGTCGAAAATTCTATATCTTCCTTCCCCAGGTACTCTTGGCCTTCGGACATCACGACGGCACTCTTTGATAATAATCACCATAACAACGAAATCAACAGCAGAAGCAGAAGAAACAGTAACAAGCGCAACAGAAAGCATCATTTCCGGAGGAAAGTTGGCACATGGGATTCACCGTGGTCGAGGTAAACTAGCACAGGGTACCAGCGAGTCCTTCCCGTCCACGATTCGCAGTTGTCGACCGTCTTCAATGTCTCATCAAAACGGAAGACGGCATTAGAGCAAGTCAATCAAGCATGATGGTAGATCACCTAGAAGTCTGCATTCCAGTTCCACGAAAGAGCTAGGATATGGGACCACTGGTTCACATCTTGTGGCTGGCTTGAGGCCAGGGCAAAGGGGGCATGAGGCGTTGGACATATTATGGCCACGTTATTCGCGACGGTAGCAAATTCAGTGGCACGCCGGTTACCCGTCGCTTGTCAATAGTCCGACGCAGGTTGCTGGCCAAAGGGCGGCCTAGGTATCCGTGGATTTGGCTAGAATTGCCATCGTTGGTCAAGCCATTACGACAGAGATGTGGCTGGCTGGCTAATCCTCCAGACGTAACGGACCGTTGCCAGGAACCGTTGTGCTGGTACCGCTGCCGTGGAACTAAATAACAAGACCTCGCTCGGACATTCGTCTGTTAACACTTGCACCGAGTAGCAGTGCTACTGGCGCCGGACCCATGAAAGCTTGGTCCTGATCACGCCAACAACATTGAAGCCATGGTGAAGATGCATTTTTGGTTCATCTAGTGGGCCGTCGCCGAGTCAGAGAGGTGGGATGTGTCAAGGACCTTAGGAAAATGGTCAGTAATATAGTGATTATCTTGCGCAGTAGAAGTTCGTGCGAGAGGGTATACTGAGGTAGATACGGAGATGATGGGCCATTTCGACTTTTCGAATCCTTACTATAGCTCTCGTGGTTGTCCATGGGGAGTCAATCGAACAGTGAAAAAATCGATGTGGTCTTTCGCCAAAGGGCTGCTCACCACGGAGAGAATCGCTCTCATGCTATACGAGGTAGTAGATGTTGGCCCGCCGTGTAAACAACACCGCACGGATGATTCTGCTATGGCCATGAGCTGTAGCCGGAATCTGCTCTGCACAAGGTCACTCCGACGACTGAGACTCCTCTATGAGAGCTTACCTCGCGACGGGGAAGATGGCTGACTGTGCAGTCCGCATAGGTAGTCGGAAGAAGTAGGCTGTCAGGCATTGTCTTCACCTGAGCGGAAAGAGCTCCAGCCCCTGCCATTGGCTACCCAAATCCCTGCTGGAGTGGAATGACGAGCGGACTGTGAGTAAACGTAAGTATACGATTTGATGCTCGAGCTTCAATATCGTTGCGTGGGGTGGAAAGGGGGGATGGATGCATGTTAAGCACTAAACATTCTCGCTCTGAAAATGCAACAAGGGCTGGGAACACTGATTGGATGGCTGGATAAATGGCACTGGGCAGAAGCTGGAGTTTGGGAGATGGGGTTAGAAGCGCAGATACGGGGACGGGGATCAAGGAAACAAGTGAGAAGCTGAGGCGAGGACGAGAAGGACAATGGACAGGCGGCAGGGAGCCGGTCGGGACGCGAGCGACGGTGACATGGTCAGGGTACGGGGAGAGCGATGAGGAATCAAATGCACAAGTTCAGACAGAGCTGATGGGAAACCGGCCGGAGCTTCTTTACATGTCGGCGCTGATATGCCCTGCATGACAATGGTGAGTTCCATTGTTGTATTCTTGCGGATACCTTACCTACCTTAGACTGAGGTGTATCCGTACGGTCGGCCTGTGGCCTCTCACCCTGCGATGGTCAAGAATCGACGACGAGCCGGGGTCAGCTGGGAATAGATGCAGGTGAGGTGCAGCTGGAGGTGGGGATGCTTGTTTCATGAAACCGACGGGTCGGTTAAGAGCTAATGATTCTTTCCTGCTTTTGCTGTGAGATTTCCGTGTCTACGGAGTAGCTATGTACTCGGCATGTCCTGGCTGGAGATCATTGAGAGGCCCCAGGGATGGGGGGGGGGGGAGAGGGCCAGGGATGAAATTGTAGAGGTGGGTCTGCTGTGAAGGGGGAATTTGGAGGAAAAAAGAAAAAGGATAGGGATACCTACAGCAGAAGGGAAGGGGCAGCATATGAGGAAAATGCCAAATCGCCAAAAATTCGCTTGTGATGTCCATTTGTGGCCTAGTCTGGCTAGCATGGGGGGTTGCTAGCCTGTATCCGTACGGAGTTTTTGTTTTCTTTCCTCACCAAGCACACCTCACCAATTACACGATCCATACCAAAGGCCCCCGGGAGAGGAGAAGGAGAGGGAACCTAGTTGTTGGAGAGGATGTGGAGCTACCAAATGTACACCATTGCAGGGCATGCTAGTATCATCCCAGAACAGCGAGTTGACTACAACTATTGAATCGCCGACACCATGCTACCGCCGTATGCATGGCATATGTATGAGACGATGGTCTCTACAGCTGAATGCTGAATGTTGGAGCTGGAGTTAAAGCTGCCGAGTCCGAGAAGGCCAGAGAGTAGGGGGCTGATAGTTCTGCGAGAGAGAGGAATACGAATGCCTGACGTGGATCAGCATGCGTCTCCTCCATGCCTTGCGGATACCCTCACTCGTCAAAGGCTTCTTCTATCCATCGTCCCAAAGCCGCGTTTGCCAAATTCTTGCCTTCTTCGTCCATGCCAGAACATGCCATCCTGAAATGTCGTGGCGGTTAGCGTCGTGGATGGGTTGGCGGAGGTGCTGACGGCCAAAGGGATATGGGCAAATTATCCCGTATGCGTGACAAACGACAGCCAACCGTTGGCATCATCTTCAACACCTGCAGCATGCGTATCCGGGCAGAGAACGCACTTGCTGTTCATTTGTATGCCACTTGCGCCTCCGGTCCCGTAGTGTCGGTCCGTCCGCTCGCCAGTCCATTGCCGTCAGCACGCTACAGCACACCTAACGTCGAGAACCGTACAGCTGGAAAGGATGCCAACGGTCTTTGCTTGCAGGTTTCAACGTAGCCTACTCCTTGGTGCAGCGGCTGCCACCGCCCCAGGACACCTAGTCGCCGGTGTCCCAAGCCCTCGGGCGCAGCTAACACGGACGAGGTACGCAAGCCACAATCAGCGCCTACGGCATAGGGCTTGTCAAAGAATATGCTGCTGGCTCCGGCCGGGCCCAGCGCCGCCGATTATGGCGTCGGACGAGATACCACTTTGGGTACAATTGTCCCGGAGCACCCTCCAGCATCGGCGGGGGCAGAGTTGTTCATCCTTCCAATGCAGCGAGCCAGTCGGCAGTTGAAGCGATCTGGCTAATCCGTCCCGATGCTTCGTTTTGCCGTGGCCATGGGCGTGAAAGCTGCCATCCCATGCTAGGTAACTCAGACATCCGATATCCCAAGGGCTCGTTCTGTTGTAAATCTCGCCGACACGTATCCTGCATAATCGGGCTATCAACCTCGCAAGTGCAATAGTTTCTCATCATCTGACCCCTCCTCACGCAGCAGTGTCAGTCATTCGACAGAAGAACGGTATTCGATCCGTCAATTTGCCAATATGCGACAGATACGATGCGGCTGGATAATCACAGGAGCCAGAAGCCAGGGATTATATCCAAGCAAAGTTGATAGTATCCGACAATATTGATATGATGGGAGGAGGTGGTGGATGACGGCTCCATCATCCCTTCGCCGTTGAACACCCCTCGAACTAAACAGACCTAGGTCCCAGAGGAATGGGAACGAGGAGTTGGGCAGACAGCCACGGCGTCCAGCCCAAGCATGCCGGCAAGCAACTTCACTACCTGTACCAGAGTTAGCGGCGACCCAGTAGCGGGGTCACACCGTCGGGTACCATGGTATGACAATTTCTCGTGGAATGGGGGTGTGCTGTTTATCGCCAGTGTGGGTCTGGATTCATAGTTACGGACGCAAGCCATGCCACCCCCTAGCATCCCGTTGCGGAGACCAGACCTGTCGACGGACGTAACCGCGAGTGCGGTGAGGTAGCCATAGGTCCGTCGCAATGCCATAGGGGTGCACCCATAAATGCGGACAAACAAGCTATGTATCGCTCGTTTGTCAAGCACTACCTTGTAATGGTTTCCATTTCTTTTCGTCTGCCGCGATTTACGATTTGACGCTTGTATTTGCTTCTTCTTCTCTGTCATCTGCGATCGGGTTCCCTCGTCAGTTGGTCTCGTTCACACCGGCCCTGGTTCAGAAGGAAGACACAAAGAGTACTCAAGTACGAGACGCCATTCATGCACGTCTCACCCAAGGTGCCTAAAGTGGGCTCTCTCTGGCGATGGCGTGTATTCGCGTCAATATCCGTCTTCGTAGAGACCGTGCAAAGAATGCGAATAGCTGCATGCTATGTGAATCATGGACCATCCCGCGGCCCCAAGACCCATGCCAGCCGTGGTCCCAATCCTTTGGTTAGGATTGAACTGGGGCTTGAATGATTTGGACTGGGGTCTGGCTACCCTACAGCCGCCTTGCGGTAGGACTAGGCGTTGTGGCAGAGGAGGAGCTCGGTGCCTCGTGGTCTGGAGAATCCTTTGTAGGCCGTTGCTGGGGGCCGGCTAGACCGCGCCGGGCGAAGTCCCAAGTGTTGATATTCGTCGGGGTGTCCCCAGTGCTTCCGCATGCGTCGAGGTCTCAATGATGTGGATGACTGTTTACAGTACGCCTGGCAGTTACCAACAACGGGCGCAGACCAGAAGGGGGGACCATGGCAGCGTTTCGAAGGCTTGGAGATGTTGTGTCCGCATGCGGCAGCTTTCCTAGCAGTCTAGTAGTGGCCCGACAAGATGGGAGGAGCCGTAACCAGACGCGTCGTGAAGTACGTCCGTAGGGTGACGGGCTGTCGTCTTTGGGATCTTTCTCATCGGCAGCAAGCAGTGATCCTCGGGTCCAGGCTGGGCTTGGATATTTGGTCTCGGCCGGGCCTAGTAAAGTCGTTGACGAGGACAATGAAAAGTAAAAAAGTAAAGGTAGAGACATAACCTAGTGTGGGCATCTTGACCCCACAGCATCGACGATGAGGGTAAGGTGGTGAATGGGCGAGTGACGCTATCTCCGGATGGCATATTGCCGCGCCAGGAAAGAAACATTGACGGAATGGGATTTCGTATCTCGTCGGCACCCCTGCTCCTCTATATCTGGTACCACCGCCCTTGGGCACGTGACACTATCGAGGAAGCTGCATGCTCAGTGAGGCGTCCAGAGGTGGCACGGGTGGAACCGACGATCCATACTTGAGCGAAATAATGGCAGGCTCGATTACCATGTATAGACGTGATGTTACTTCCTCATCCTTAGCCCTTGATCGGGAAGATGGCGAAGGGAACGGGTGACGAGTGAAGTGGTATCAGAAAAGCTGGGTAAGCACTGTAGAGTGCCTCATTACTCGTTGTTTGTGACGCGATACGTTTATGGTGGTGCAGTCCCCAAATTCTGGTTCAACGCTCCGGACGGCGCTGTCCTGCAGATGCTGTATTACCTCACTAGGCAGATATGCGTACATTACCGTATGGCCCCTGCCCCAGGTTACCTCACTACTTTGGATAAGCCGAGAGAGTTCACGAGGTAAGGTATGCCTGGTGCCAGTGATTATACCTGCCTTACGTTAAGGTAGGTAAGATAAGGCGAGGTAAGGTAGGCACTCCGAACTGTACATATATTTGTACCTTACGTACCTACCTTACCTAGGTAAGGTACCTAGTATGCTCAGGAAGGCAATGAGGGCACCTTACCTAATGTGCCCTGGGCGCCTGAATTGGCGGGGGAAGAAGCCGCCGTTGGTTCTTTCCGGGCGGTCCCAGCAGGATGGCTCTGACTTTTGGTTGGTCCCAACAGGAAGGAAGGTGTGTAAGCCTCCCGGCGATCCGCACAAGGACCTTCTTGTCTTTCTTTCCTTGGACGCCAACCAAAACGCTCGAGGCACCATGGCACCTGCCACCCACACGCCAACCCCTGGTCAATAAGATCAGAGGTGCTATGAGGAAGGAATGACCGTTGCTGCACTACTCTACTATGTACGCAGTACGGAGCGAGGTACTTACTTTTGCATCGGCAACTCAGAAACAGTGTCTTTTCTTCACCAACTTCTGGTGTTGGCACCTTGAGCCCGACACGGCGAGTTCGCATTTGTACCCGGACCGAGTAAGAGGGGACGAAATGAAGT